GAAAACCCTCCAGTGGGTGAATTACAACACTTCTGTAAAGATGAATGGGCCAGCATTCCTCTACAGTGATGTGAAAGACTCATTGCCAGCTATCACAATCGCTTGAATACAGTTGTCGCTACCAAGGGCGGCCCAACAAGTCATTAGTTCTAGGGGGAAATTACTTTTTCACACAAAGCCACCTGTAGGTTTGAATTACTTATTTTCCCTTAATAAATTTAATCATAATAATAAAAACAGCATTTTGTAGTAACTTGGGTTATTTTTGTCTAATATAAAAACATTTTTTGTTGACCTGAAGCATGCAAGTGAGAAAAACTTGCAAAAATCAGACAACAGGAGGGAGGAACATAATTTTTACAGGACTTGCGTTTCAACAAACAATAAAAAATAAAAAAACTAAAGTTTTGCACAAGACATTTGTGCAGTACTTTGTTAAAAAAACCCAACAATAACCGGACATAACCGGAGTGAAAAGTGCTGAAACGTGGTGGAGAAAGCCAAGAGGCTGTAAAGCCAGGAACAGAGCATGTGCACTTTTCATGAGGGTCAGTTGAGAGTCCTTAAGGGACACTTTCCCACATAGCAGCGGATACTCAGCATGCTAAGGACAATCAAGAAGTTGGCCCCTGGTTTTTAAGGAGGAGCAGAGAGTGCTTGTTAAGAGCATACAGGATTCAGTCACTTGTCAAGTATTCAAGCATGAGGACCTCCTTAGAACGGCTAAGTGCAAACACAGGTGCAGAGAGATGAACTTGCTCGAGGTCTTCATGAGTCCAACATGTCTCACACCGGTGAATGTTGTCTGAATTTGGTCGTTTAATTTCGTCTTCCTCCTACACTTACTAAGAAGAGTAGAACAAATGTCTACATTCTTATGTCCAACTGTTGCTAGTTTCTGCTCAGCTCTACCACATGTTATAGGTTGTTCCCTGACCATTTTGCAGCATATGTTACCCTCACCTGTTTGATCATTTAAGAGACAACGAGGTGCCCTTTATTGGTTTTCCTTTGGTGAGGGAAGGGAGGCACACACACCTCCACAAATACACTGTTGGGGGATTACTGTGGCCAGATGGACAGTTTTTACATACTGCCCAACCTCTGTGTCCTTCTCGGTGGATAATTTCCATTGTTCACATGTGAGAGAAGCTTCACTGTGGTTCCTGACTGAAGCCCTGTGCTCTCTTGACTCTCTGGCCATCGGCTGCACATTAATCAGCCAATTATCAGCCCTGGAGATAAACGTTGCTACGCCAACCTGGCAACCTAATCCAATCACCTTGGGGAAACGGGTCACGAAGGCACTCTGATTGGATAACCCGGGGCTGGGTCGTCGCGCCTGTGACCCGCTGCTTTGAATTGGTAATGATGTTAATATTCTCCATATGGTCGCGTGTGTGTTGGGCATTCGTGTGTGTGTGCCTCCCAAAGCACGGGGGGCAATCTGGAGGTCGAGCTGCACCCCAGCGTTAATGGCCGGTGGAGAGGGCGGTAAGAGCCAAAAGCAGCACTATCCTCCCCCTGGGGCAAACCTCTCGATGCTGCCATTTCTAGCCCTCTTTCCAAATCCTCTTTGCCAGACTTCAGCTTCTCTTCTTGGCTGCCATGCAGTAGCCCTTAGCACTAAGCCCCATATTTTCCCAACACAATAACCACAAAGTGCCAACAAACATTCAAGAGTTGGAAAAAACATTAAGAAACATCTTCTAAACTTAAGTGCTTTCATTTGGAAAACTGTAATCTGTTAACGCATACCGACGACTGAAAGCGAAATATTTGAATTTCTACCTGAAGCCCTTAATGCCTCCACATCACCGATCCTACCTCCTACCTCTCCTTTCCATATCCACCCATCTGTGAGATGCTTTTATACATCTCCTGGACTATCTGTGCACACACACCCACACACTCACCTCTTTCCCTCCCACCCCTCCAGCTGCAGCCCCAGCCGGCTCCACACAAAGGCAGGCCAAATGTATGCTAATGAGAGCCAGGCCAATGGTGGAGCCGCACTCATTTTGAGAGGAAATGGCTTTCAATAATGGCGGCCCCCGGGGGGATTTTGCACAAAGTTCAGCTCCACTTTGAAAAATGCATTCAATTCACTGCTGTGTCTGCTCTCCCTTTTTCTCCTGTTTTTCCCCCTCACGATGAAAAAAAAGAAGAAGAAGAAGAAGAAGAAGAAGAGGGAGGAGGAGGAGGAAAGAAAAAATAAAGCACATTCCGGAATATATTTGTGCCCCCCTCCTCCTCTCGCCTTGGTATTTATGCTAGAGAGAGTCAGAGGATTCTTGGGGACCGAGGAGCCGCGATTTATCTTTACAGAAACATCAGAAACAAAAACACAAACATGTGAGTCTGAATATTGTTCAAACTCTATCTGGCACTTCTCCTCTGCCTTTTGTTGCTCTGGCTTTTTTTTCCTTTTGCTCTGTTGCTGATTCAAATGTCCCCAGAAGCGTGTTAACTGTAGCATATGCATTTCAAGTGGATCACATCCTATGGGTCTTGGGCCCAAAAATACTTCAAAGAGGAGATGAAGAAAGTTAAATAAGAGTGAGGGAAATTTCTCGAGGTAATGAACATTATTTGAACCTCACTTGTTGTGTTTGTGTCTAATTACGAAAGCCAGAGAATCTGATGGAGGCCACTTTAACATAAAGCATCTGTTATTATCATTTATATGCTCTAAAAACATTTTAGAGCAAGAGACCACTAAGGCGGTACAAATGATTATTTTCATCATCGGTTAATTAAGTTTTCCTTAATAAAAATGTCAGAAAATAGAAAATAATTACATAGTAAGATTTCCCAGACTTCATAAGATCTTTAAATTGCTTGATTTGCCTGACCAACATCTAAACCCACATACTCAATTTATAATGACTCAGCCCATCTGTGTAATTAAAAAAATGGCCAGTTTCCCTCTGTAGGTTCATCCCTTTGCGCAGTGCTGCAGCTATTTTCAGATCACTCCTCGGACAACTCATTCTGATCCAGGGACTTGTGTGTTTGTGACGTCTGCTGGGCCCCATCCACAGTGTCAAAACAATGGCCATTTATCTCGAATTTCACTGTAGGAAAGGGGCAACGTCAAAGTCAGGTCAGGTTGATGCAGAAATGGATGTTTGGGCTCGGAGAAAGTTTGAGGTTCATGATGAAATTGCACAAAAAGCAATCTAAAAATAGCAGCTGTGCTGGAAGGAGTCCAGATGTGCACAAGGGGGCGGTCTTGAGTGGGAGATTGGTCAAACTAAAATCAAATGTGGTTGCTGATTTGTTAAGGTCAGTGTTGGCATTTCACTCAAAAAAAAAAAAAAAAGAGAGAGTAAGGTATGACACATTTCTCCAGTATGTTCACTAATTACTCGCCAGAAAACGTAATGTGTTACAGTACTTGTTACTTTATTTTCGTGTTACTCTGTGAAAACAACCTGAAACCCATTGTCTCATAATTACCAGTTGACAATATAAACCTGAGGCCATATTACATCATCACAGTGACTACTGTAGAGCAGACAGAGATGGAGGCTATGAAGCTACAAGCGAGACTGCTCATCACTGCTTCTGTTACCTTGTGAAGTTCAGGCTCTGGCTGCTGGGCTGGGGTCAGCATGCACTCAGCTTTATCATCACTGAGCTAGCTTAGCGTTAGCATGCTGTCTCTGCTTGCGAACAGCTGAAGTTGTGCAAGCAATATTGCTGGAAGCAATTCCCTATTGCATCTCCACTTCTCTGGTGCCGGAGATCATTCCACCATTTTCCACATCCCGGCATATAAACTGATGCTTTCCCTGCCCGAGTATTATTTTGAACTTCCGAGTGACTCAGGAATGACTCAAGATCTCCCAGAATAGTTTTAGTCTATGATATCTATCCATCTATTTATCCACCTATGAGCTGAGAGTTAGACTTTTAACACTATCATGTGCTGCGAAACAGTAATTGTTGGAATATTTCATCCTTGGCTGGGACAGCGTTCACGCTTTCCCGATAAACTCACGTTCCCAATAAAGCATCTTCAAATTTCTAGTGTTGCCAAACAAGAAACTCCAAATCCAAGGAGATTCAAATCTACACATCAGAGATGCTGAAATGACTTAAAAGTTGTTTTACTTTTACTTGCCAACCTGACTGATGGATTATCACAGTGCAATAAAAGGGAAGCTTTGGTCTATCAAAGGTCATTCAAATCTCCTTCAACCTGCCTCCATTTGGGTTTGTCCCCCTAGTTACAGCTGGATAATCTCTCTATCCCTGCGCAGCTTGGTTATGTCCTTCTTTCTCCTTTGCTTTCTCTCTCTCAGATTCTCAGTGCGCCTCGTACCCCCAGAGCTGGTGCTGATGTCTGCGCTCCCTGGTGCCTGTCATATCAGGAGGGGCAATAACCCGTGAAATGACTGTTCTCTTTTTCTCACTCTCCTGCTCTCCATCCCGGTGTCCCCTCTTTTCCTCATTCTCCTCCTCTCGCTTTCCATGCGCAGTGCCACTCCACGCTCCACTTAGCTGCCGGGCCGCGAACATCACGAAAATGGCGTTTGCTCAGCATGAGCATACACACGCTTACACGCATAAGACAGTGAATATTCTGGCGTGGTTGGGCAAATGTATATGTGCTATATAGCTTGACAAGAGCACGGTTAAGCAAACAGGAGGAATGTGCAATTCCATTAAACCCACACTAGAGGTTATACATCCTGCATGGGAGCAAACCATCCTCCACGATTGTGTGTGTCTGTGGGAGAGACATCCTTCTGCCTGTGCCCTGCTCTCTGGAGAGCTGATCAGTCCTATTCCTGGGATGAGTAGACACTCCCAAGGCAAACACTCCAGATTTAATTATAAGCTCCAAAGAGGATTAGTCTGTGCTGCGCTCTGTGTGAGTGTGCGCTTGTGAGAGTGGGGGAGACACAAAGGGAGGGAGTGGCAAAAAGTTAGCCCTTCATTTCCTGCTCTGAAGAATAAAACAGGCACACACACACACACAGTTGTCTCACCTGGGCTGTGTGAGGTACTGTCGGTCTATTTCTTCATACTGGTGGTCAGGGCGAGAGTCGGCTCCTCTGGGTGCCATCTGTGAGGAAACACAGGACGAGCAATATAAGTAAACAAATCAAAATGGCCCAAACACCGAACCCACAACGCCCTCGATGGAAGTCACCTGAAAGAATAAATAAAGTTTTAGGCCTATTTAAGGAGCTAAACCCTGCAGTGCAGACCACACATGTCCTTAGGCTACATGTTTAACCTCAGTAATATTTCAGTAGTCCGGTGGTAATTTAACTCTGTTGATGTACATTAAGCATTCAAAGCACACGTGCTTTCGTGTGCAGCCTTAAGGTTTCAGGATAAACAAAAATTAGAGAGCGAGGAGTCGTGGAATGCCCCACATGTGGTAACATAAACACTCGCCTCCAAGTGGATGCTGTACCCCTTTGATAAATGTGCGTGTGCGTGTGTGTGTACAGTTCTTTCAAACATGCCAGCCACGTGTAAAGAAAAAAAGAAGAAGAAATTCAAAGTATGATTTGAAAAGACGGTTGATGTGTTTCTCATCAGAGAGGCCATCACCAGGAAGTGACCGAATGATTAAAGCCGTCCACATGCTTAGGCGGATAAATTGGCAAAGACAGTTTCCACATGGATTGGTACACAGCCCTGCATTTTCAGGTCAACTTTTCATCCTCACTGAAACACCGCAGCAGAAAAACAATCAGCTAAATTTCTTCCCCCCCTTTCTTTCTCCAAGTCTCTCCGTTGTTTTCCTGGATAACAGGTTATCGCCTGCTCTTTGTAATTACTTACAGAGGAAGGGAAATGTGAATAAATGTAGAAAACCCATGATGAATACAGATATTTCCATACAGGGCATGAGAGCCAATTAAAAAAAAAAAAAACATGCTATGTTCATTTTCTTATGTTCCTGACCACAATACAGACTTGCAGGTCACTGCACGGTGCACTCTGCTCCCAATATTAGATTTTTGTCCATCTGCAACGACTCTCGTAGATTTCTTTCTGAATGTGTGATCATGTAAAATGTGGCCTTTTATTATGTAGCTGTTTCAGTCCTTGCATGTTTCTTTTGGTTGAGGTCTCTCTGGAAAGAAAGACCTTGATCTCAATGAGGCTACATGTTTAACTAAAGGATATATTAATAATAATAATAATAATAATAATAATAATAAGGAGGTGTGCTAAGAAGCTCTTATTTTTTAATCATATTCACCATTTGTACTGGAAGCTGGAAATTGACTCGTGCTGGACAAAAGCATTTAAAAATGTAGCAGTGTCAGTTTTTGTACATGATATTGAAACACTGCTGGAGTACATGGAAGAAATCTGTTAGCGTGACATGTTGGGACTAAAAAGTAAGTAACAGGTTTGTAAAATTACAGAAAATGGCTCAGACTGTCCTGTAATAATTAAAATTTATGCTTTGGACTCACCATAAAAACATATATCTCAAGTATATCTGTATTTCTGTCATCTCATTGTTTATCTATTATTTATTTACTTTGGTATACTATTAATGAGGAGGTCTTTAATGGCAGGAAAAGGTCTAAAACTCATGAATATACAAGTTAAAAGTCTAAAATCTATGCCCCTCTGCCTAAGACATCAAGTGGGACAGATTGGAGTCTTTGGCGGGCTGATTCTAGCCCCCAGACCTTATGTTTGACACCCCTGATCCAAGACATTTTTGGATTTTATTAAGGATTTGTACAAATGAGGGGAATTTGAGATGCATCGGTGTTTTAGCACAGTGATTGCACCATAAACACCATCATCCAACTTAATTGGAGCTTAAGTCTAACGTTTACCATCAAATTTAGCGGCATACAAGTGCTCGTGCTCCAAGATCGCGACAATACAAATGGTTTTAAACAAGCCGCCCCTGAGGGCACGAGAGGAGGGAGGAGTGTGGAGGCAGAGACATGGGGAGAGCACACAATTTCAATTATCTGCATTCTGGACTCTCAGTTTTCCCATACAAACACAGGCTGTTTACCCAATCGACATTTCAATGGTCAAACGTTCCATCCACCACTGCAGCACAACACACACGCGCTAGAAAGCTGGTCAAACACACAAAAACAACCATATGTACAATAAGTGACATAAACAAGCTAATCGTGAATTTGACAGATGCTCACCCGGAAATCTGAAAAAGGCAAACAGTCGTACGTTTGATCCAGGCTATCAAAACGACGCAAGCCAGCAAACGTACACAGCATTTAAAACCACAGACACACTATGAAAAGAGTCCGCATGACTTCATGCAAGACCAGTCTATCGCTCTGTTTTGCATGCATGTATGAGTTCAAACTCATTCTGCATGTCAATGCTGCAGTGGCGCATTACCAGATATCATTAGCATGTCTCTGTAATGTAGAGAGCTCTAATGCCTCTGAATGGGAGCCAGGAAGTGAAGCACATCAGAGCTATGGCTAGGGCAAGGCTGCTACTTGACTCGCTGAAGTGGCTTTGTGCCTGTGTGTGTATATAGTATGCTAATATTGTGCTAGTCATGAGGGCTGTGTGCGTGTGTGTGTCTGTGTGCAGTTTTAATATAATGTCAGAAAGTGAACTCTCCATCTTTGGATGGCAGCGTGTGCGCGAGAGAAGGGGCCATTATGCAAAGAGATGCATAATAATGTGAGGTAAAGGGGGCATTAGCAGCAGCAAGAATCTGGGACTCAGGTGGAAGACCTTCTGTGTGTGTCTGTGTGTTGGACAAGCCGTAATACATCTTCTGACTGTGAACAGACAAAAAAAGGGGGAAGAGGAGGAGGGGAAGTAAGAGAATGATGAGGAGAGGAGGAAATGTGTGTTTAGATAAAATGAGTGAAATTCTTTGTCCATTGATTGTATTAACATAATAGCCTGCAGCCAAAGGTCTGGATGATCCCTTTATTAACTCACAAACACACACACACAAACACACACACACACACACGCAAACACACCAAACACACATTATGAATGCCTGTCATATGGATGCTTTTCAGACGGAAGCCCATTTCCCCCTAAATTAGACAGCCGGCTTTAGTGCCAGATGATGTGCCTTGAAATACTGCTGCGGTGTACACAGACACATACATGCAAGTAAACAAACACACGAAACAAGTCTCGGTCTCACCATGGCAACTGGTAAAACAGCAATATGAAATTCATCTCGGTTAAGAGGGGAAATGCAGCAGTCAGACTTCTGAGGAGGCGGTCAGTGAGCAAAAGAACTTCAGAAAGGTGGAGAGGGATCAAATGCACTTTTCCTCAAGCATCATGGTGATGAACCTGACGGCTTCATATAAAACACTGTGTGTATGTACAGCATGGCTGCTGCTGTGCCTGTGCAGCTATCACTGCCAAAGTTAATGTCATGTGCAGGCGGTAGCTGAAAGAAAGCCAGATTCTGCACATGCACACCAATGACAGGGAGTAGTGCCATATGGTGAAACTAAAGGGGGACCTAATAACGCTTTACCTTATTTTCTGTCATATTTACACTGTTAGTGCAACAGTGGGTGCTCAGATTAAAAATCAGAAGTAACTGCCCACACAGAAGCTCCACCCACCTGCAGTTTAAACCTTCTGAGGGGCAGCCAATCAGAGGAAAGCTCTTATAACCCAGGTGATGAAGTATGAGGCCCAGAAGAAGGGAGATTAGTTTTAACCATGAATCATGCAAAGCTACTGTAATGAAGACCATGGAAAAAAACATGAAGGTAGCAAATGAGCATAACCTGCCCCCCTTTTAATCTTGCTTGCACTTCCTCTGTGTTCATTTGCATTTATTTGTGTGTAGTTTGCACTAAAACCTTACAATAAGAATATCCAGAGACTGCTTTTTATACTCTCTCATCGTGGGAAAGCAAACGAGCTTAAACATAACAGAGGATATAAAGTCTATAATTGTGTCGAGTCATCGCACGTGCCGCAGTTCGCCAGTTGACAAACGCTCGCAATGACAGAATGGTTGGCACGTGCGCGAGTGTGAATGAGCAGAATGCCACTTTTCCATTTTTCCAAATTAGAAAGCTTTGCCTTGACAGTGCCAGATGATACGCATTGAAAAACACACACCACTCAGCTCTAGCAGCGCAGCTGTCGCATTCATCAGAAAGCATTGCCAGAGCTCAGGAAATGAATTTCTTGAAGCACTTTTGGCTGTGCTGGAAATTTGTGATGTTCATATATACAATAAGCCTCAAATGAGAGTCCAAGTGCTTTGACACAATGCCTGAGCAGCGCTTTCATTCTCTGACTGAGATGCTAAGATTCGCCTTTTCCAAGACGCTTTACTCCGCCGTCTCTTTTCAAACTGCATAATTAGCCTCCTGTATTGCCATCCATCCATGCTTTTCTTCCTCCCTCCATCCATCTCGGATGCTAATTAAGCATGTGTCTCAGTAGGAGCCTGTGCCTGGCACCCCATGCCCACCTCCTGTTGGCAACATCACCCCGCGAGCCCTGCATCCGACTGGCACGATGAGGCGGAACCCACCCGATATCCATCCTCTCTCTCCCCCCACCCTCCCTAAAAATCACTGTGATGAGATTTTGCTGACTCCCCCGTGGGAGGAGATAGAATAGATAAGAGGGAGAAAAAAACAGAACAGGGGAAAGAAGCTGTAAATATGAGGCACATGTAGAAGAGAACACCAAACAAAGCAGGAACCTGTGAGCCAAAGAGTATCTAACTACTGCTGCCACTAGTTGCTGACAGCTAGAGTTTTAAACATAAAGATATCTATCTATAGATATCTCTATCTATCTATAGATATCTATATATCTATCTATCTCTATCTATCTATATCTATATATATCTATATCTCTATCTATATCTATCTATCTATATATCTATATATCTATATCTATATCTATATATCTCTATCTATCTATCTATATATATCTATCTATATATATAGATAGATATATATAGATATAGATATATATATCTATATCTCTATCTATATCTATCTATCTATATATCTATATATCTATATATATCTATATATATATTCAAAAACACACATGCAAAAACAAGTTTGATCCAAACATGGCTTTAAA